GTGCATAACATGTTAAAACGGTTAAAAATTGCTTTAAAGCATGCTTGGAACATGTTTAAAACAAACAGGAGCATGTCTAAGTCAATAGTAGGACTGTTCGAGTGTCCATTGTCAGGGCATCCACGAGATTATGGATCGCTCTTCCAGGATGCAGGCTCGGCCTTCGAAATGCAAGTGTTCGACCCTCGGGGCAGAACGGATACACACACAGATATATATATATATATATATATATATACAAGACTGCAGTGGCGCTTCGCGCCATGCACCTTGGTCCTTGAACTTTGGTTTGCAGGCGGAATGGCAGGAAGGTCAAGCCGACAATTTAGCGATAACTCCTGGTTGCCTTTTCCAGCATCGCCGCTATAATGATGTGATTCGTTATCCTTCCTCCATGCTTATTGTTCCTTATTTTCGCAATACCCTGCGCATTCTCCACATCCTCCTCAGCTCTTTTTTGCGGAAGCTCCTCCTTGGAGAGCCTCTAGGGGCCTCACAAAAGTTGTTTCGGGCTTTCTTAAGGCCTTCTGGAGGCCTCCTGGGCGTATTCTGGGGGCCTCCGGGGGCTTCCTCGGGCCACCCTGCCTCCAACCGCCGTCTCCCTGAACGACCGAATCACGATTTGGAATTCTTCGGAGGGTGTCTTCGGGCCATCTTGGGCCGCCATGGGGCTCTCTGAGGGCCATCTTGGACCCGTGTTGTGCCGTTTTGGGGCTCTCTTGGACTGCCTGGAAGCCCTTTCGGATGGTTGTGGGGCGATTTGGGAGCCTCCCAGGCGGCTTCGGACGCCCAGAAGACCGCCGTCTTGGAGCGTCGGGAAGCCGAAAAGAGGAGAACCCCAAAATTCACCAAAAGCCCTAGACAATCAATGATTTTTGCCTCGGGGGGCCTTCTTGGGAGTGCTCTTGGAGGCCTCTTTGGGGCCGTCCTGGAGGCCTCTTGGGCCATCTTGAGGTCACGTCGGTCACTCTTGGAGCGCTCTTGTGCTGTCTTGGGGGTCTCTGGGACGTCTCCGATGACCCCCCTGATCGCCCTAAGTGTGCTGGGAAGGCTTGGCAAAACGCCTTGCGAGGCCCGGTGGCCGCTTCGAGGCCCGTCCGGAGGGCCAAAAAGCCCCAGGTCCTGGGAGTCCGTCTTTTTTGGGGGGGGATGGGTTTTCCCCCCGCCCGGGCTTATAAACATATATATATATATATATATATAGATATAGATGTATATATGTATATATATGTATATATGTACATATATATACATATATATACACATATATGTGTGTAGACATACGGCTGCATCCTTGGTCCAGGCGCCACGATCGACGACGTGTGGCAGGAGGCGGGCGCCAAATGGATCCACCGCATCCGCGACCTCGCCCGAGAGGGCGCGCCTGTGCACCTCACGACGGTGATCTACAACTCGCGCGTGCTGACTGTCCTCAGCTACTTGATGCAGCTGATGCCGCTGCCCCGCGCGCTGGTCAGGCGCGAGGCTTGGGCGTGGCACAAGCTCTGGCATCTCCCGCCCCAGTCGCTCTCGCTGGCCGGGCTTCTCGGCATCGGGAGCTGGTCGACACTGCGTCCAGCCAGCATGCAGGTCCTCAGCCTGGCCAAGCGTATGCGCACGGCCATGGGCACTGTGACTAACTGGTCGACCCTGCATAGGGCGCTGCGCGAGACCACGCTCGCCTTCGGCAGCTTGGCGGAGATGGGCACTGGCTGGTGGTCGCCCACGCTCTGGAGGACCAAGCCGATCGTGGTCCACCTTTCTGAGGCCAGCAGGGCCGCCTTCCCGCTAAAGGCTCATGCCCCGGCCGCCCGCACAGCCCTTGCTGCCCTTGCCGAAGTCTCGGGACAGGGGCGCGTGAGAGTGCAGAGATCCCTTTCCTCTTCCTTACGCCTCTCCCTCTACCCCGACGTCCTCCACCTCACCGTCGCTAAACGTATGGCCTCTTGGGAGCTCCCATTTTCGGAATCATTTTGGGATGCCCTCAGAGATCTCGTCCGAAATGGAGGTCCACCAGCCTGGCAGAGTGCGGTCCTAAAGACGATTGTAGGAGGTTGGCTCACTAGCGCGCGCTTGCACTCGTCTGAGATGTGCCTGTGTAGATTCCAATGTCCCCAGAGCCGTGACGACATGCTTCACTATATTCATTGCCCAGTTTTGTGGAGGCTTGTATACCATCCCGATATGCCTCTTGACTGCCCCTCTACGCGTCTTGGGCTCGATGGTCGCCCTACGCCTGAGATCGTCGAGAGGGTTGTGCGGGCTTAGCATATATATATATATATATATATATATATATATATAATGTTGTGCGCACCGCCCCCGACCCTGGCCCCCTCGACAGTGAGGTGGCTCTCGGGAGGCATCATTACAATATACGGCGTGCTGCACAGATCCTTGTAGAGCACTCTCGAGCGCCCTTCTAGGTCTGTCTGGTGGCCCCGTCTGGACTCTTCAGGGTACGAGTGATATGTGTGTAGACATACATACATACATGCATGCATACATACAAACATATATATATATATTTATATATATTACGTACATACATACATACATGCATACAAACTTACTTACATACGTACGTACATACATACATTCATATATGTATGTATGTATGTATGTATGTATGTATGTATGTATGTATGTATGTATATATAAATATGTTTATTTATATATGTATACAGGTACGCATGCATGCATGCATGCATACGTACGTACGTACGTACGTACATACATACGTACATACATACATACATACATACAACATAATAAGTGAATGATTGAATAAATACCGCCCCCCCAGCCCCGGGTCCCACACCTCCCCGTGACATCTCGGGGACGCTCCCGGTACTGCTCCCCCGGCCTTTCCGGGGAGCCTCCACAGCGCCCCAGGAGGGCCCAAGACGCCTCCCAGGAACCCCCAGACTGCGAAAGGATGGTCCAAGACGCTCCCAAGCAGCCCAAGTCAGCCTTCCGACGGCCCTAGAGGCTCCCAGGTGGCTTCCAAGAGACCCCAAGAGAGGTCCGAGAGGCGTCCTGGGACGGCCCGAAGAAGCCCAAATCGTCGATTTGCATTCTCGTTCTTCCGATGGTGCAAGAGCGCCGAAGAGGCTCCCAAGACCGCCCCAAGACTACCCAAGAGACCCTCACTCAGGACGGCCCCAAAACGGGCCAAGAAGGCTCCAAGACTGCCGAAGAGGCGCCCAAGACAGCCCCAGACCACCCCAGAACAAGCCAAAGATGGGCCCAAGAGCGGGAGCAGGAGGCTTCCACAGACCTCCGAGAGGCCTTCGGGACCACCCAGAGGCCCCCAACACACCCCCGATCCTTGAGAGGCCCAAAAAAGACCCCGACGAGGCTCCAAGAACAGCCCAAGAGAGCTGCGAGAGCCGTCCCGAGAAAACCCAACGAGGGTAAAATCGTTGATTTCCAACGGTTGTTCTAATGTTTTTCGCCTTCTCACTTTTCTCGCTTCCAACCCTCGAAGATCGAGGAGCATGAAAAAAAGGGCACTCCCAGAATTCCCCCTTTTTTTTCCCAAGTGGGACTCCTACTCGGAGATCCCAAACATCCCCTGACATCTGGCCAGTGCCGCGCCTACCGGCTTCCCTGGGGGCCCCCAAGACGCACAAGGACAGCCCAAGACGACCCCAAGGAGCCCCCAGAACGTAAAGAACGGCCCAACACGCCCCCGCGCAGCCCGAGACACCCTTCGGACGGCTCTCCAGGCCTCCAGGAGGCCTCCAGAACCCCCAGGGGGTCTGGAAGATCCCACACCCCTGAGGGGCCCGGCTAACAATACCCGCGAGGCACAAACAAAAAACAGCGCCGAACAGCGCCGAGGAACTGGAAAAAAATGGAAATCCGACAATTCCTCCTTTTGTTCAAGTTTGGCCCCCGGTCTACTCTTGCACAACAGACCACGATTCAGACCCCCCATCACCTCCCAAAAAAGAACCCAGGAAGCCTTTGAGGGCCCCAAATCGTTGAATACCTAAAGGAAATTCGTGAATTCTGCGTTTCCGCACTCTATACGATTCCGAGGCTTGCGCAGGGCCTCCAAGGGAGACCCTGGACGCAAGAAGCGACCAACATGATATCACATGAGTTAGCTTATCAAGCCTAGCTAGGCTTTCAGCGCGCGCGATGGCTCTAGTATGTATGTATGTTTGTATGTTTGTATGTATGTATGTATATATGGATGTATGTGTGTATGTGTGTATGTATGTATGTATGTATGTATATGTATATGTATATGTATATGTATATGTATATGTATATGTACGTGTATGTATGTATGTATGCATGTATGTAAATAAATATACATATGTATAAACATATATGTGTGTGTATGCATGCATGCATGCATGCATGCATGCATGCATGCATGCATGCATGTATGTATGTATGTATGTATGTATGTATGTATGTTTGTATGCGTGTATGTATGCATGTATGTAGGTAGGTAGGTCGGTAGGTAGGTAGGTAGGCATGCATGTATGTAGGTATGTATGTCTGTATGTACATATATATACGTTGATATATAGGTCGATATATCGAAATATAGATAGATAGATAGATATATAGATATATAGATAGATAGATATAGTTAGATATAGATAGATAGATAGATAGATAGATAGATAGATAGATAGGTGTATATATAGATAGATAGATAGATAGATAGATATAGAGATACATAGATAGATAGATAGATCACTCCAGGGCATTCCAGAACGCTCCCAGGGCCTTCCGTAGCGCTCCGGATCTGGCCGCGGCGCCCGAGGCGCCCGCGTCCTCCAGGCCCCGCCAGTTCTTATAATAGAGATCCCCGGCCCCGACTCCATCCGGGCTCGTCCTCGCCGTGCCAGGCGCGCTCGCGCCTTTGTGAGAGCCGATCTTGAACTGGACCACCCGGTCCCGCTTCGGCGGTTCCAGGTGGCGCAACGGTCGCGCCCTCCTGCCGTTGGCGGGCGGTGGCCGCGGGCGCTTCCGAG